ATATGCCCTATATTAAGCACTTTACATGTTTTATGTCTAAGCTTCACACAAACCCTGTCAAATATGTAGAAATATCCCCTTTTTACAGACAACAAAACTGAGGCTTATAGACAAAGAGTAACTTGCTAATGGTCACATCTCTAAGATTTGAGCCAAAGAGTGTCTGACTCCAGTATAATTTTATTTAATGGCAGCATACATGACCTTCAACAAAAAGCATGATCTCACTTCTTATAAGATAGTAATTAAGGAATTTGGAAATAAATCCAAAACTTTGCCTAAACTGGTAAAATTTAAATTAATCTAGGCAAAGAGTTACAATAAATTGAATAAGTACAAATACATAGTTGAATAGTTACAAAGAGTTTGAAAGCTATGATTTTTAGGACATCAACAAAAATTTCCATTTGTAGATCTTTTTTAAAAGTCCCCTAATAGAAAATGAACAAAAGGTACATAAACTTTAAAAGAGCTAACTGGAAGGGGTATTTAGAAAGACTGAGAAGAAGAAGATACTCAAAATCCTCTCAATCTGGCTTTATTTTACCTCAAGATGATGGCCACCAGATCTAACCAATGAAGTTTCCACCACCAGAATTCTTTACCGTTTGAGGTAACGGTCATCTCCAACCTTTATATTGTCACTGGACAATACCCCCCTTTCCATCTATTCAAGGCTTATCTTTCAATGCTAAGCCTAAAACACATTTCTCTATTGTAATTTTGGAATCAGTGTATACTCACTAGCCTGAACTCTTTTTGTTCTCTCCTAGGATGTATAATTGTACTGCATATTTTGTCATTTAATTAAATTTTGTCTTCTATTCTTGGATTGTTTCAAATGTGTGTGCATGTTGTCTCCTCAAAAACAATTTTAATTCTTGTCGTATTCAAAAGCCATGATGGGATTCTTTTCTGGATACCCATACATTATTGTTGGCATCGTTGATAATCCACAATTATACATAACATATACAATTACCAGGCTTGTGGGCTTGTCCCCCAGCTGCAGTGAGTGTTGGCTCTCAACTACTCGCAGCCACCACCTTTTCTGAAGAATTTCTCATGGCCAAACAAGAGCTGCTCATTGCTCAACTGGGAGGTTGGATGTGAAGTAGAGGTTATGACAGAGGAGAATTAGCCTGTGAACACAACGCATTCCAAATCTACAGCTGACTGTGGTAACATAGTGGGAGCCACCTGACTTCCCTGTGTCAAGTAAAGAGCCTTATAAAAGACTGGGTAAGTATCTGCAGATATTCTCAATGTGACATGACTGTTCTTCCCTTCTAGAGCCAGAGAACTGAGGCACAGGTCCAGCATAGGGGCTAGTAGAAGCCCTAGAATTGGAACCTCAGACTCCCGGGTCTTGTCTGCCCTCCTCATTGAACATTAATGTGGGATGCTATTCAAGCCACAGTGAAAGGCCTCACTTCATGGGCATTTCTGACTGATCCAGATTAACGTTCCTAGCATATCAGACGTACACTTATATTTGCTTTTCAAAAGCATTTTTCTCCTTCGACCATCTGTTTTCTAAACTTCTATGACTCACTTAAGCGAGCCCTGCTCCGAGGTATAAACTAAACCTTATAAAGAGTACACTTAAGACCCTGGATCTTCATGAGCTAATGAAACTTCACAAGATTAACTTGTTTTGGTTTTTCTAATACAGAGCAGATCTTTTGTGGGAGTTCAGTAAGTAAGATGTGATGACAAAGATTTCAAAATTTGTGCCACATTCTCCATATATGGCCTGGAAACACTTCCTGTCTGTCTTGTCCAAACCTCTTTTTTAGCTTTAGATCCTGATAGAAAAGATTAACTGCAATCTGCCATAACACTTAAAAGTACAAGTCTAACTTGCTTTGTGCAATAACTGTCTTTGAAAAAGTACTAACTGAAAATTAAAAACTGAAAGTTAATTGTACTAGCAGAACCAGTTGCTTGGAGCCTCTCTTTCAAAAGGAATTTCCTCCCTATTTATCTGTTTTAGTTGAGTGAATATTTACTATGTAAAGATGGTACACTTGTAGAAATCCCAATGGCAAGAACTGCTTCTTGTGTTTTTAAGTTCTCTGAACCTCAGTTGCACTCCATACCATTCATCCCTTAAGGCATTCAACCAATATTTATTAAGTACCTACAAAGTGCTCAACCCTTACAGATACTGGTGGTACCATGACGAGCAAAGCAGAGTATCTGCTCTTCTAGAACTTGTATCTCTCTGTGTGAAATACAGATATGAACAAGTAAACTACTAGGATTGCCAGATTAAATCCAGAATGCCCAATAAAATTTGAATTTCAGATAAGCAATGGCTAATTTTTTGGTATAAGTGTCACAAAAGTTGCACAGGAAAAACTTATACTGAGAAATTATTTGTTGTTTATCTGAAATTCAAATTTCACTGGGCATCTTGTATCTTTATTAGCTAAATCTAGCAATCCCAAAGCCTACAGATAAATAATTACACACTAAGCAAGAAAAGTGCCAGGGGCTATGAGAGTATATAAAAGATGGCTATCCTAGTTTGGGAGTAAGCACAGGGAAAAATTGGGGGGCATTTTATTGTTTGCTAAATCCATGGTTATAAACAGACAATTAAAAAGTGGAACCATAAATCTGGTATAGGAATTTCCATTTGGAGTCACATTAGCTAAATGTAATGTAAAATAATGTTAAAGATTATCCAAACCAATTACTTCACTAATCTTATTTCCCCCACTGATTGAACTATGCTTCTTTGTTCTTGTTTCTAGAATCTGAGTCCCGTTATCATTATTGTCTAAACAAGCCGGGTTGGCCCCGTGGCTTAGCGGTTAAGTGCGCGCACTCTGCTGCTGGCGGCCCGGGGTTCGGATCCCAGCCGCGCACCAACGCACCACTTCTCCGGCCATGCTGAGGCCGCGTCCCACATACAGCAACTAGAAGGATGTGCAGCTATGACATACAACTATCTACTGGGGCTTTGGGGTAATAAAATAAATAAATAAATAAAATTATTGTCTAAACAAGCCTTGTGGTATATAGTGAAAGCTCTTGAATCAACACATTTCAACCATCTCCCTGATCTAAAACTGTAAAGCTATACTTAAAAGCCTCTGATGCATGGCCACATCTATAAAACAAGTGTGATTTTTTTCTTACCTCAAGTTAGGTTATTCATTACATATCTAATTTTCACTGGTGATGTAACTGCAGAGTTCAACATTAACCTCTAAGACATTTGCACTATTTGAGACTTACAGAAATCTTCTACATTTGTTCTGATTTCCTAAAGGAGTCTTCAATAGGTTTTTTCACAATGTGTGTACAATATAGATAATATTTCATATTTTTTAGGAATTTACAGACAAACAAAATAAGGACATAATTAGTGCTTTGCAAAATCCATATTCTTCAATCACTAAGAAACAGTTGAATTTCTTTGTAAAGAAAGATGTAAGATTTATACAGAGATAGAAAAGTAGCATCTTTGAAAGTTAGCAGATTTCAGGGTGATTCAAGAAGCTCTTTAGAAAGCCTTCTGAATCAAACTAGGACTCAAAAAAGATTATGTTGACAGTCTAATTATCTTTCCTTTACCAATTGTTTAAATTTTTTCTCCCTTTACAAATAATCATTTCTTAAACATTGAACTTGCAAACTTTAGATTGGTTAGGCTTACTTTAACAATCATTCAATACTTAATTATGAAATCCAGGCAAATCTTTCACCTAAGTGAGGCCCATTTGGCAATTTCATTAAGGCAAAACCCTTAATTAATGTATGTAAAAAATTTAAACATATATATGTGTATATGTAGATAAACAAGGGATACTTTTTGCCAAAGGGCCCTCCAGTAACACTTAGATGCCAGTAAACTCTTCATCTAAACATAAGTAGAAACATCTGTTCACTGAGACGTTCCCAGGAAACTCATCTTTAGCAAGCCCAGTGGGAGAGCAGAGCACGGTTTTCTACTTAACCAGTCAGTTTTATATTTTCCAAACTACACTGTTTTTAGTCTCTTTGTGACTAATATTTAATGTGATAATATAATTAACACTTACTTTTTCCTGCCCTCTCTAGCATAGATGATAGCAGCTGTTAATCAAAACGATTTGCAAACCACAAGTCCCAGATTTAGTAAATGCTCAGGAAATCTGTCATCTGCAAACCTTTTTTGATTACTAATAAATGCAAGCTGGTATAGAACGGAACCCTTTCCTCCCACCATTCACTTAACCTTGTTATATTAAGCTTCGTGGCTGGGTCACACCAAGCTTATTATAAACATCTCATATTGGAACAATTCCTGAAATAACACAGTCACACATGCTTCTGAAAACTGTGTTCTTCTGTTTCGGTTCGTATTACTATATGAAGTCTGGTTTTCTTCTCAGAGACCAGGAGAAGACCTATGACAAATCTCTAACTCCAAGAACTCAGGTGCTCCCACATTCTTACAGTCTACAAAACCACGTAACCACTTTCCACTAACACACATCCCAAAAGACCAAGGCTGGAAATGACAATTCAGGACTTTACATATCCAAAAGTTCCTTGGAAAACAATTCTGGGATTTTCCTGTGGTGAAAGCAACATTTCTCGGGAACCTAGCTTTACCACTTTCAGCTCATTTTTCCCCCACTTTTTTCAGTGTTTTGGGTTTTTTCCTAGATTTTTTTCAAGTTTTCAATGAACTCTGCACCCTCCAATATAGACTGACGCTGGAGGTTTGTCTCAGACGCCACAACCACATTGAGTTTGGGGTCGGGGTGAGGAGAGCACAGGGCAGCTACATCTAGGATTGCTTTTCTGTTTAGGGCAGGACTTTCTTGACCTTAGATGACAAACGGCCAGCATCAGCCAAAGCTTAATTATTTTCTTGGGGAAAACTCACCACCTTATCTTCGCTTCACTCAACCAGCACTCCAAGAACCATCTTCTGAAAACTGGGAGCGGAGGCCTACAGAATCAGATGATGTGGGTGGAGCTCACCTCTACGGGGTGGGATGGAGAGAGGGGAAAGGCAAAGGCTGGAGAAGAGGGAGCCGCTGATCAGCTACACCTGCGTCTTTGGTTCTAGCCGAGACTGGGAGCAGGGCGTGAGGAAAGGCATGTAGGAGGAATGAGGAGGATCGCTTTGGGCGTGTCGACGCCATTTTGGTGCGCTCCCCACCATGGTATTAACGAAATAAAGATCACCCAGAATATACTCTCGCTAATCAGGATGAAGGAAAAGTCACTTTTTAAGTTAAATTTCATAAGTTTCTATTGGGCCGAGTGTTGTATGGTTTTTAAAACATTAATGCTATTAATCATTATGTCTTTTATGGGACTGTATCTGGTTTGGGAGACATTGTATATACATTACGCAAAATGCAATAATTAAGCAAAGAAGTGCAAGAATGGTACATAATAAGCTCGTGGGAGGTCAGGATAGGGTGAGTTCAGTGTGAGTTGATAAGCATTTATAAAGTGGGTAGAACATAAGCTGGGCCTTAAATAATAAAATATTCTGGAAAGATAGGAGCTTGGACAAACCAATGAGGTGGGGAGAGACCAAGTAAAAGCGCAGTGGTGAGACTAAGCCTGTTGTTTTGGCAGCACTGGGTAAACAGTCTGATGGAACCGTGAGAAAGGTGGGTGGTTGTGAAGGAGTGAAAAAATGTAGGTTGGGATAAGGAGGATACAGGCAGATTCGGAAATCTTCCATAATGCCATTTCCCATCCAGGGAAATAAGATTCAGGTGGGACAGACATCTTAGAAACAGAAGAAAACCTATCACAAAACAAACAAAGAAAAAAGCAAACCAGGATCAGGGTTCTAAACATATAGCTGAAGCATCATAACGGGAACATTTTGTTCTCAAACTGGCAGTTTTGCTTCCTGCCCAGGGGGCTACTCTAGCCAGACCACCATGGTCCCTAATCACGTGCTTCACAGACCGTAGCGTCGGTGATGTCCTACCTCCCCCCTGTTTTCTCTCTCCCCCGCTCCGCCCACGGTGTTCTGAAAATCTGTTTTTGGAATATCTGGATTTTTATGTAGGCTCCGATTCCCGTGGTTCATCATTTCTGTCACCAGGTGAGAGGGAGGGGGAGTGTAGTAGTTATGAGCTGAGGCTCTGGGTTCAAATAACCTGAATTCAAATCCCAGCTCTGCCTTTACTAGTCTTGCCACCTTAGACAAATTACTTAATTCTCTGTTCAGTTTCTTCGTCTGCAAAATGGCATCAATATCATGAATGACCTCCTGGGTTTGCTGCAGGGATTTAACGAGATAACACATGTATGATGCGCTCTCTGAAAATCCTTTAATTTATTCAGATATTAAATAGCCTCCTAAAGCACAAAATAGTGCCCAGAAAGAAATGACCAACTAACCCATTCTTCTCATTAGATTTGCTCTGTTAATTTCCCATGAAATGAACTATTATAACGTCCATGCTGTGATCTTATCCATCCACAGATACCGAAACTAGCAACACCTGGAGAGATTTCTCTCCTAGTCATAAGGGAGGCAGTGGCGGAATCAGAAATAACATTCAAATTCTGAACCCACTAGACCGTATCACCTGTCTGGCAAATTCGACTCTTACTTCCTGCTCCAGATGAGTGTCATTCCAGATGTTACTCAGAGCAGTGAAAGGAACAACCTGAGCAATAAATTCCAACGATTCTGCAATGAATTGAATGAACATGTTATTCTGTTATTTATTGTTTGTCTCGTGCTGATTCTAAAGAAGACCTTCATGTTGGACTCTCTGCCCCTGGACAGCACACTCTGGTGACTCACGTACCTGCCCTAAAGGCAGCCAGAAATGAGCAGTCTCTATTGAAACAGCTTCTCCAACCCCAAACACGTGCTTTGTTAACACGGGAGAGAGTGCAAAGGGATAAAATGCAGACTTTACCCAAAGAAAGCCAAGATACAGCTTTGGGTTTTGGATATAGTATAGGTAGAATTGGTAACAACGTGTGTTTACTTGCCAAGTCATTTCCCCAAGGTGAGTTGACCAGACAGGGCCCCTGATACTGCCAGCCCTGAAAGCAACTGTCTGTCTTGTTATAATTAGAGAACCTCTGAGGGACGCCATCCTGTCTTCAAAATAACATTTCAAGGAAATTAAATCTTCTCATGAAATAGGCAAAAAATATCTATTTAAATAACACATATCCCCTTCTCTCTAATGCAATCTTTAATGTTGTTCCACACTAGCCAGGAGCTGGATCTCTGGAATTAATCTCTGGTTGATCCAAGGGACTCATTTTGTTTAACCAAAAATAGATTGGAGGGGGAGGGGGCAATATTAGAAGAAAGGAAGGAAGGAAGGAAGGAAGGAAAGCAATCCAGACAGTGGAATCCTCCTTCAGTATAGGCATGGCCAAACATAACATACATTTTTTTTTTCAAAACCAGCTCCATGTAAAATGCACTATTTCTTATAATGTACTCTCTAGTGCCCTTATATTGTAGGTGCTATTGTCTTTAAATTGTTTTCCTTTAATTAACCTTTAATAAGCAAATGCAGTGTCTTCAGGAAGCCAATTTTCATTAAGATACTGTCCCAGAAAGAAAAGGATTGAGAACTTTAGTGATCAATGGGTTCCACTCCAAAAAGGAGTAACACAGAAGTGAATACTTTGAAAGAAAAATTGGCAATAGTTTTTTGGAGGGAAGTGGAAATGAGGCAAGGCCCTGAAGATATAACCAAGATATGTATTAGCTGAATGAAAATCATCTGTTGCCCTTCCTGACCTACCCGCCAGAAAGAAGTAAAGCAAGACCTACCCATCCTTGCTCAGTGTCCCAGGACACTAACTTCTATTGACAACATCAGTCTGGTTCCCCTGCCCTGTGATCTCCCGTTGAACTTGGCCAGCAGGAGGCACCAGCAGGAAATAGATGAGCAGGAGGAGAAAGAGCCTGGGATATTTATTCTCCTGGCTCCCACCCTGCCAGGCCTGTCTGACAGTGGCTCATGCTTTTCCACGGCTCCTGTCATGTGGCCCTCTCCTAAAGTGACAGTCCTCACTTGGTTCTGCACATCTTCCCTCCCTGGGCCCTTGCTGGAGATAGTAATGGCTTCCTAAAACCAAGAAGCCAGCACCACAGGCTGCTCCCTGCTCCTTATTATTTCTCTTAACCCCGCCCACACCTCATGAATGAAATTCTTTTCAGCCTCCCCTTTAAAAAAATGTGTCATCTCTTTCCTAAGGGACCCTGACTAATATACACTGAGAGATTCTTTTAGTTGTCATGTTAGTTTCCATAGCCCAATATGGTTGTCACCCACATTACACAAAGGACATAATACCTCCCTTAAAATATTTTTTTATTTTTAAACTCTGTGTAGCCTTTCCTTCTGGTTAAGTACATGCAGCTAATTCAAAGAGATTTCACTAAAAGGAAAAAAACAAAAAAAAACTCCACAAACTTCCTTTTGAAAACTTTAATAGCTATTGCCAAATTGGTTTCCATAGAGGTTGTATCAGTTTATCATCTCACCATCAATCTGTGAGCTTGATTGATTCCCCACACCTTCATCAACACGAGTTGATCTTTGCCAATCTCATAGATGAAATACGGCATCTCATCATTTTAATTTGCATTTCTCTCCTTATGAATATAGTTTGATGTGTTTAAAGCCATTTGTATTTCCATTTCTATGTTCCATTTGTTTGTATTGTTTGGTCATTTTTCAATAGGGGCTTGATTTTATCAATTTACAAAAGCTCTTTATATATTAAGAAATTTAGTTCTTTGTAATATGTGTTAGAAATGCATTTGTACAATTGTCATTTCTATTTTTGGTTTATGATATTTTTTGCTGTACAGATTTTTTAAAAATGCAGTCAAACTTCAACCTTCTCTGTGTGACTTCTGAGGTTGTGTTAGCCTTAGGAAAGCCTTCCTGACTCCAAAATCATAAAAACGTTCTCCCATGTTCTTTTCTAGTTCTTTTATGATTTAATACATTTAGAATTTATTTTGATGTGAATTTGAGGGAGATAGGACTTCACCTTCATTATTTTTCAGATGGCTACCCATTTTTTTCTAGAACGTTACCCTACAGAAATACTTGCACATATTTGCAGAGATAAATGTAAAAATATATTTGTTATCGTATTGTTTGGAACGGCAAAATATTGAAAACAACCTTTGCATCCTTCAATAGGGGACTGGTTATATAAATTATAGTACACTCACACTAGCTGGAATAAACGTAGCTGTTTAAAAGAAAGGTTCTACAAAGACTGATTTGAAATCCCCAAATTATGAGGTCAAATTATAAATTAACCCTAAGGTGAAGAACGGTGCTTATATCACTTCTGATTTAAAAATATACAGTACAAACCAAAGCAAAACACACATACACATAGACATAGAAGAAACTGGAGACAATGATAACCTTAGGAAGGGAAACTGGGGGACTAAGGAAGAGAGATTTAATCATTTCTGTATATTTTTTGTACCATATTCACGTACAATATCAATTTCAATAAGTGAATAAAGAGAAAAAATAATAGATTTTAAAAACTCAAGTCAGTGTGTTTTGGTGGCTGATTCATTACCATATAATGTAGATTTGTAAGATAATGTTGTTTGCAGTATTGAAACCTGCCCCTTAGTTCAGCGAAACACTTTTTGTATGTAGGTGTGAAAATGTGGATCAGTAGCACCCTCTGCTGGTCAATGACCCAGAAATCATTAATAAACCTACGATTTATTTTATGCTCTATTTTGTGATTATTATCATGTGCTCAAATAGTATATCGTAAGAATGATAATATTTTGTATTGTAATTTTTGAAAATCATTGTGGGAATTTTCTAAAGTGAAAAAATCACACATCTGTGTAGCAGTCCACAATTCTAGTGTTTTAACTCTTGTCTGAGTGCAGTACTCTACTTTTGATGATGTGGGATTATTGAGAATAAAATAATAACTATTTTTAACAATAGTTATCACCAATTTGTTTAAAAGTAAGCACCAGGGGCCTGCCTGGTGGTGCAGTGGTTAAGTTCACGCATTCCACTTCAGTGGCCAGGGGTTCATTGGTTCGGATCCTGGGCATGGACCTACTCACCGCTCATTAAGCCATGCTGTGCCAGCATCCCACATAGAACTAGAAGGACCTACAACTAGGATATACAACTATGTACGGGGTGTTTTGGGGAGAAAAAAGAAAAAAAAAAGAGGAAGATTGGCAACAGATGTTAGTTCAGGGCCAATCTTCCTCAAAAAAAAAACATCATTGTGTATGTTTGTCTTGCCAGTCTGTATATTTTTGTCATGTTCATCACCATCATAATTCATTCATTCGACAAGTATGGAGTATGTGGTGTGTGTCAGGCATGTCCCAGTGCTGGGGATACACAGTGAACCAAAGCAAGCTTCTTACTTCCTACCAAAGGAAACAAAATTAACATAATTGACCCCAAAATGTAGAATGTTACAGTCTGATAAATGCTGAAAAAAAAATTGAGAACATGAAGAATGACTTTGGAGGGATGGTTGCAGTTGTAGATGGGGTAGCCAAGAAAGGACTCACCAGAAGGTGAATTTGAATAAGACCTGAAGGAGGTGAAGATGCTAGCCAGAGGATACCAGAGGAAATGCATTCAGGCAGAAGAGCAAGTGCAAAAGTCCTGAGGTACAAGTTTGCCTGGCATGTTTGAGAAACAGCAAGGACGCCAGTGTGGCTGGATTGAAAAGAATAAGGGAGAGTAGCAGGAAATGAGATCAGAGCATTAATGGGGGAGAATAAATCACATAGGATCTTAAGGTTACAGAAGGGCATTGCCTTTTACTCTGAGTGAGATGGGAAGACATTGGAGGATTTTTTTTTTTTTTAAGATTTTATTTATTTATTTTTTTCCCCAAAGCCCCAGTAGATAGTTGTATGTCATAGCTGCACATCCTTCTAGTTGCTGTATGTGGGACACGGCCTCAGCATGGCCGGAGAAGTGGTGCGTCAGTGCACGCCAGGGATCCGAACCCCTGGCTGCCAGCAGTGGAGCACGCGCACTTAACCGCTAAGCCACGGGGCCGGCCCCATTGGAAGATTTTAAGGAGAGCAGATATGTGCTCTGAATAAACTGAAAGGAGTCAGGGGTAGAAAGAGTAAGATTAGTTAGATATTTGTAGCAATAATCCAGGAAGAGAAATGATGACAAGAAGTCATAGATTGATGGATAGATGATAGATTAGATAGATAGATAGATAGATAGATAGATAGATAGATAGATAGATAGATAGATAAAGATAGATGGATAGATGGATGGATAGATAGATAGATGATAGATAGATAGATAGATTGATAGATACTGTTAGATGAGACACGATGTGCTGGCAGACCAAATGTGGGGTATGAGAGTGACAGAAGAGTCAAGAACGACTTCAAGATTTTGGCCGAAGCAACTGGAGGAATGTAGCTAACATTAATTGAGATAGTTTAAAGCGAGGGATAAATACCAGGAGCTCAGTTTTAGAATGCTGAGTTTGAGATGCTGTTAAATATTCAAGTGGAGGCTGTCAAATAGGCAGTTGGATATATGATCTGGATTCAGAGGAGAGGTTCAGGTTGGAGGCATAAATCTAGGTGTCCTTAGCATAAGGGTGTATGTAAAGCTGGGGACCTTTTGAGATCACCCGGGGAGTGAAGGTAGATGGAAAGAGAAGTCCAAGGCCTGACCCCTACGGCACATCAACATGTGTCAGTCTGGGTGATGAGATGAGGAAGAATGAGCAAAAGAGACTGAAAAGGAGCAGCAGAAAGGTAGAAGCTGGAAAATCCAGTGAGTGCGGTGTCCTGGAAGCCAAGAGGGGATGTGTCTCAAGGCAGAGAAAGTGATTGACTGCTGGTAGGTCAGTAATGTGAGGCCCAGGAGATGACCTTGGGTTATCGATAAGGGAGCAGGTAACTGGTGATCTTGAAGAGAGCAGTTTCA